TTATTCATTTCAAACGGGCCGGATCCGGCCCGCGGGCCGTAGTTTGCCCACGGCTGCACTAGGCCCAAATTCCCCCAATTCTCAGGGATCTCCAGAAACATAATCTTGAGCCATAAATTAGCTTCTGAGCTAATCCCAGCCCCCTCATGTATCCCAGAGCTCAGAATACATATCTAGCTGCACTGGGAGTGCTGGCCTCTGTGACATGGCTTATAGTTCATGCTCCTCTATAGGTAGAGCTATGAATGCTCTGATGCCCCTCACTGGGGATGCAGGGTCTGGAATTCTCTGGCCTGCCAGCAGTGTCTGTGATTCCCTAAAAAGGATGTGAGTCCCTTTAGCTGCTAGGGCACTATCACCTGGAACCACTTAGGAATTAAATCAGATCCTGATAACAAAGTGCAAAACTGTCACAATGCTATCAGCCACAAAATGTTTCTGTCACATGTGAATAATGGGTGAGGTGGGAACATACAGTTTATGCACTAGATGGCTCCGCAGGTCCTGGGTGACATGCTCATGCCAGCCTTTCCGAACGCCAGTGCTAGAAGTAGGTGCTGCTGTTGGTATAGTGCTGAGGGTTCCAATGTTTCCAGAATTTGAGCTATCATTCATCAGTGGGCTATGGGAAGAACAAGAACTTCAGCCATCTATTAAAGTGACTCAAATGTGCTTCATTTAAGTAAGGCCTTCAACCATATGAGACTTAAAAAGTTTAAGTTAGGAGAGCCAAGTGGTGAATGAACAACAAAATAGAAACCATGTTTTATCTATTATCTGCTCTACATTTATAATTAAAAGAAAAATAGCATGCCTCCACCCAAACTATTTTCTCTGCCTCACATTTAGAAAGAATTATGGCGTTTTGTGTGATTCCCAGCCCACTTTCATGTGTGACTATCACACAGGAGCCAATTGAAACATGGGTCTTACTTTGTGGCCCCAAGGGAAGTTGGAAGAGCTGATTCTGAAATCAAGTTTGGTGGCTGCTGATCTGTTGTTATTCCTCCTGCTGGAATGTTCATTGGGTTATTTCCTTTAAAAACAGAAAAGAAATCAAATCCTAAATTATAATATACACTTAAGAGTTCAAGTCACTATATGAATAAGCAATTCTTAATGAGTATAATAACAAACACTATGGCAGGAACTCTGCAAGTTATATTTTCAATAATGGTGATTGACTTGTAATACAAGTTCAGTTGCAGACTCCTTCCCACTGTATCATATAATTAAAATAAGACAGTTTTATGGAGGCTGGATGGTATCATAAGTAACTATAAGGTGGTGGAAAAAACCAGAAATGATCCATTTTAGTTTTAGATTTTGATCTTGGCTTTATTAATATCATGCTCTAAACAATTAAACTCACTTGTCACATATATGTCATCTATTTCTTTTGTATATCAGAAACTAAAACCATAGATACTAAGTGTAGGTGAAAAGCATAAAAGGTCAATTTGTCTACAGTATTCATCTTCTAGGATAAAAGAAGTTAAGTCTTATCCCAAATTAAACCATCAATTGGAACGGATTTAGAATTCAGGTCTTAGGACTCCAAACTAGTTTCCTGGTTAGTAGAAGTTAGATATGCATTAGGGAAGTAGCTTTCCAAAAAGCAACAAATGAGATGTTTTCAAAGAGCCATTTTTAAAATAAAATACCAAAAAAAAGAAAGAAAGAAACAAAATTAGCACAATGACCTTGATTTAACTTGACCGACATAACTGCTTGGCTTAAGCCTAATTTTAAAAGGACTATGTCGATTTAGCTCTGGCTGGTTTGGCTCAGTGGATAGAGAGTCTGCCTGTGAACTGAAGGCTCCCAGGTTCGATTCCAGTCAAGGGCACATGCCCAGGTTGCGGGCTCGATCCACAGTAGGGGGTGTGCAGGAGGCAGCCAATTCTCTTTCATCTTTGATGTTTTTTTTTTTCTCTCTCTCCCTTCCTCTCTGAAATCAATAAAAATATATTTAAAAATATATATGTATTTTTAAAAAAGGACTATGTCGACTTGAAAAATATTAAGTGAACAATATGCAGAGGTGGCAAAAATTTTGGAGCTGTGTAACAAAAGACCAAACACTGGCAAATAATGGAATAAGATTACACTAGGCAATACTAATATACTGGTACATGGAGAAGGCTGAGACAGGAGAGATTTTCTGAGACTCCTGTTAACCAGTCCATGTCCTGGCTGGTCACTTCCAGCAGTGGGATAACCCATAACCAAGACGTGCTGGAAATGGCAGACCATCTATAAGTTATCCATTAAATAAATGATCTACTGAGAGTCAATGCAAGTAGTACAACCATAATTCTAACTTGAGACTGCATTCTGAGCCATATCAAGTGCCCTTTATTAAAACGGTCCAGATAGAAGTGGCACAAGCAACAAAAATGTTGGGCAAATGCTACTGTTTTAACAAGCCTGTAACATATTCCATGAATTGGAAATATTTGCCTTTTCCTGGAAGTTTTTTTTTTCCTTTCAATTTACAAGATACCATCACCATAATATATACATTTATTAATTTGAAATTAAACTGAAAATAGCCTCTGGTTCCAAGAAGACTTGTCATTTCCATGCTGTATTAGGACAAAGAAGGTTTTACGAGTTCCTTCACTTACCCAAGGGGTTGAGAGTCCTCATCTGCTGGTGAGTTTGAGGCTGTGCTGGTTGCTGGCCAGAAACCTGCAGCTGCGTCTGGGGCTGGTTCAGGTAGGGAAGTCCAAGAGCAGCATATGCTCGCTGCATGGAGCTGGGGTCTATAGGATTTGGGTTACTTAAAGAAGTAGCATTCTGCTGGCCTGTACCAACAGAACCAATTGTGTTCTGAATTCCACTAGCTGGAGATCCCAGGATGGCTAGAACAACAAACAAACAAACAAAAAAGGTGAGCAATAGGTAGAAGCCCATAAATTATTTTTAAATTACTGAGAAACAAGTAAAAATTTATCAGAAGACTATCTATATGTCATGAAGTATTAGAACAAGGCTACCAAGGAAGGAGGTGTGCAGAGAGAAGGACCCTATTCTATTCATCTATTCTGTATGCCAGTAGCTGAGGAGCAAAAAGCTAAAGAAAATCCAAGCTTCTCTTTTAGAAAGTAACAGACCATACTATCAGAGATCACTTAATAAAAATTAATATGTATCAAAGTCTCAGAATAAGTCCGTTCTAGGAAAGTGGCAAACATAACAGAAAATGTTTTGATTCTTTGCGGGGGGTGCAGGGGAGGGGGGAGGGTCTCCAGCCATCACTGAGATGAACTAAGAGGCATCCCCCTCCTGCTGCTACTCTCCCTGGGTCCTTCACTACCCAACTGTACAAGTCAGAAGGATTAACAAGGAGCAGAGGTGATGCTCAGTCAATCACTTATTAATAAATCTATGATGTGATCTTCTAAATAACAGTATCATAATGCCTCGAAACTTACGTGTACAATGACTGCATTAACATGACACCTTTCTTTCCTGCGAGTTTCCTATGCAAAAGGGCACCATGCTGAGCTCTCTGACTATGTAAAGCTAATCAAGAAAGAATGTACTTGACTGACTGATCTAGTTGAAATTAATAGACAGAAAAAAGCTTGGATTTTCTTTTAGCCAGGTGTCATCTCAGCTTCACTGATATTCAGGACCTGGGCTCTGCTTCCTGCAACCACTATTAGCTTCTTTAAAGGAAAATCCATGACAACATAAAGAATCTCATTCCCAATAGCTTCAAGTTAACTAACAGATGACCCCAAACTTGCAAATCCTTGATCATTTCAAATACAATTCATTAGTCTGTCTGTCAATCCCTCCATCCCTCCATCCATCATCCACCCACCCACCCATCCATCCAAATGTTCTTATTTGGTGAGCAGTTACCATATAATAAGTTTTATGACATACTACTTATTCTTAAGAGTTCCCTTCTGTCCAACTTCCCCAAACTTTAGAGTCATATTATAATTAGCTGATAAAATTGATACTATAACATATGCTCTTTAATACATAAGATACTATACTAAGGCCTTTTTTCAAAATCAGACCATCACGTGTTTATATTCTCACATTTAACCATCAGTGCAAGTATAACATAAACAATTCAAATACTTACCAGAATAACTTAATTAAATGTGTGAAAAAACTTGGTAATTACACATTCCATACTGTTAACTTTTCTAAATAAGAATATTCAGATCTCAAACTCATTAATGTTCATTAGATACAATTATACACACCAAGCATCTCATTACAATAAATGAAAAGATTCCCAAGATGCACTTTATGACAAGTATCTAAAATAAATCATATAGAATATCTTTATTTTTTTCTAATAGTATGTGCCAAAACTTTAATCGTGCTCATTGTACTCCTGAAATCAACATGCTAAATCTTCTAAAAACACTATGATGTAAAAAGGAAAATAATAATAATGGTAGGATGATTTATTTTATAATCACCTTGTGGTATAAGAAAGAAGAGTCCCAGACTACATTTGTTACACATAATGATCAAATGTAGAAAGGAATTTTAAAAAACAATGTATGCAGCCTTTCATTTATACGTGAAGATGCAATATAATAGTTATGCTTTAGTGACAAGTTCTATTATATTCCACTTTCATCCACACTTCCCCAAATACCAACCTTTTATTTTTTTTAAATATATTTTATTGATTTTTTACAGAGAGGAAGGGAGAGAGATAGAGAGTTAGAAACATCGATGAGAGAGAAACATCGATCAGCTGCCTCCTGCACACCTCCCACTGGGGATGTGCCCGCAACCCAGGTACATGCCCTTGACCGGAATCGAACCTGGGACCTTCCAGTCCGCAGGCCGACGCTCTATCCACTAAGCCAAACCGGTTTCGGCTTATTTTTTATTTTTTGGTTAATCCTCACCTGAGGATGTTTTTCCCATTTATTTTAGAGAGAGTGGAAAGGAGGCAGAGAAAGGGGGAGGAAAGGGGAGAGGGAACACTGATGAGAGACACACATAGATTGTTTGCCTCCCACACGCGCCTGACTGAGGCTGGGGATCGAAACTGCAACCCTTGACCGGGAATTGAACCCGAGATCCTTCTGTGCTCAGGCCAACGCTCTAACCACTTAGCACACAAGCCAGGGCCCAAAATGCCATCCTTTTCTTATTTTAAAATAATTCTTTATTGTTTGTTGAAAGTATTACATATGTCCCCATTTTCCCCCATTGACCCCCTCTAGTCCGCCCTCACCCAAGGCCCTCTCCACCCCATTGTCTGTCCATGGGACATGCATATATGCATACAAGGCCCATGGTTGATTACCCCCCACCCACCCGTCCTCCTCTGCCTTCCCTCAAATTCCGCACTCTGTTCCATGCTTCCATGTTTCTGGATCCACTCCTCTCACCAGTTTATTTTGTTACTTAGATTCTACATGAGTGAGATCATGTGGTACTTTGTCTTTCCCTGACCGACTTACTTCACTTAGCATGATACTCTCCAGGTCCCTCCATGCTGTCTCAAAGGGTAAGAGATTCTTTTTTTTACTGCTGCATAGTATTCCATGGTATAAATGTACCACAGCTTTTTTATTCACTCATCTACTGATGGGCACTTGGGCTGTTTCCAGATCTTAGCTATTGCAAATTGTGCTGTTATGAACATAGGGGTGCATACGTTCTTTTTGATTGGTATTTTGGGTTTCTTAGGATATATTCCTAGAAATGGGATCACTGGGTCAAATGGCAGTTTCCTATTTAATGTTTTGAGGAAACTTCATACTGTTTTCCATAATGGCTGCACCAGTCTGCCAAATGCCATCCTTTTAGCCAAAATGTCCCCATCTTAGGGCAAATTCCATTCCCAAGTCCAAGGTCTTTTTCAAGGCAGCCAGACAATCCCATGGAAGCTGTTAACATGGTCACTGTAGTTGTGTTTATGTTAAAAAGCATTTATTTCCTAAACATAAAACATTACTATATTTTTAAAAAACATACCTATCAAGAGACAAGCAAGCATTTGGAACTTGGCATTTGTAACAATCAGAGACAAGGAAAACAAAGTACAAATAAAAGATGTCTGACATTTCAGCATGGCCCAATTTGAGTACAAATGCTGGTAGTAGATGACATACTACTTTAGAGTAAGAAAACACAGACATTTACTATTGGGGTGATGGTTGGTTGAAAGGGGAGTTATCAGGTAAAAGCAATCATAAACTCTGTTTTGGGAGCTCAGATGCTACCATCCCTCCATGAACATTTTCCTGATCTCTCTCTTGGGCAGCAGTCATTCTTCCCTGAATTCTCACATCACCTACTAGGGCTCTGCTTCTCTTTGGGCAGTTACACTTCACATATTCACTTCCTTACTCTACCGATTAAGTTAGTACAGACTGCTTGCCAGGCACTGCTAGGCTTCAGGGTACAGTGTGAGCACAAAGCCTGCACTCATGGAGCACAGAATGTTGGGAAAGACAATAGACTAATCACTTAACAAGTGTAAAACTGCATCTCTCTGTCAGGGAAGATCATGCTCATCTCACCTTCCTTGTACATTTCCTGAGGTGGAACCAATGTGTGACTCTCTTGACTTTGTATGTCGAGGTGCCTTGTAAAGTCCCCTGCAGAGTTCAAGTGAGCTGTAGCAGTCTAGCAGAATGACTGGCCTTCTTCAGACACCTCCCACCCCCAGCCAGGCAGCACTAAATTCTTTAGGCTGAACAAAAATTAAAGGAGTGCTAAGAACAGCAATACTTCATCTGGCATCCTATCTAATAAAGAGGGGATATGCTAATTGACCCTCACACCATCGTAAAAGATGGCAGCGCCCACAGCCAATAAGGAGGAAATATGCTAATTGACTGTCCCTCCCTCAAAGATGGAGACACCCGCAGCCAATAAGGAGGAATATGCTGACTGCCATGCCCTCAAAGATGGCGGCACCCACAGCCACAAGATGGTCGGCAGGGGAGGGCAGCTGGGGGTGACCAGGCCTGCAGGGGAAGGTAGTTAGGGGGGACCAGGCCAGTAGCGGAGGGCAGCTGGGGGCGACCAGGCCAGCAGGGGAGCAGTTAGGCGTTGATCAGGCTGGCAGCAGAATGGTTAGGGCATGATCAGGCTGGCAAGCAGGCAAGCGGTTGGGAGCCAGCAGTCCCGGACTGTGAGAGGGATCCCAGATTAGAGAGGGTGCAGGCTGGGCTGAGGAACACACCCTCCACCCCCAGTGTACGAATTTCATGCAGCAGGCCTCTAGTCACTGATAATGAGGCTGTCCACATTAATCAATTTTATACATTACTGACATTTATCTCCTTAAATGTCAAAACCTCTTATTCTTTTTAGCATCTTTACATCTCTTTTTCCCTTTCTTTGAGCTAATGCTATACAGTTGCATACACAATCAATTGCCATGTCACACACTGTTGTATTAGTTGGCATTC